CTCCCACCACTAACTCCCCGCCCCCAGATATTTACAAATCGGCCACAACGTGTGCATGTTGAGGGGTGGACAGTGCTGGGTGGGGGCTGGGGGGACAGTGGTGAAGACATCACACCCAGTCCCTGTCCTCATGGGACGTCCCTGCTAGTGGGGGGGGGGCAGGCTTTGAAGACCCAGTGTCAGAGCAGTGAGTGTGTGGAGTGCACTGAGATATTTAACCCAGTCTGGCAGTCAGGACTGGCTTCCTGGAGGAAGCGGCATTTAAGTAGAACCTGAAAGGAGGAGTAGGGCCTTGGCAGAGAGAGTTGGGCAAGGTGTGGGAGGGACGGGAGCACGTACCCTGAGCCTAGATTTCCCGTAACACCAGATGGGGCCAGCGAGGCCTGTGCGGGGCTCCTCACGCCATCCTGAGCAGGTGGAACGGGACAGGCGACTGCAGAGCGCTTCGGGAAACGGAAGGCAGAGCATGCGGGGGCGGGGTGGCTGAGGGCTCAGCACGCTGCCCCCGGGACGGCCACAGTCTGCAGGGAGTGAGGACTTTTGCCCACAGTCTTCCCCTCGGTGGGGGATCCATCCACCCACTTGACCCATGCGCCTGGAAGGACAGGTGGATGGGGCGGGGCAGGGCCTGAGAGGGCAGGTGTGCAGGACGGCGGATGTGCAGGAGGCCAGCAGGGGGGACTGTACCCATGTCACCTGCCCACTTAGGGGACCCCTCAGAAGCAGACCCTGAGACCAGGATTCGGGAACGAGGGGTTTGTTTGGGAGGGCGTCCCGGGAAGCTGGAAGGGGAGGGAAGAATGAGCGGGACGGAGGGGAGCCCACACAGGTGCATCATGGAGGTTATTCTGCAGGGGTGGGGGGTGCTGAGCCTCAGCCTCGCTGGGGAACTCGGGGGGGGGGTCAGGGGGAGGGGCGACAGAGGAAAACACGCATCTGCGTTGTCCCACCCGAGGTGGGAGGGTCCTGAGGGCTCTGTCAACTCCTCCATCATTGCCGGGGCTGCTCCCGGGGACGGGGACTCCCTGGCATTCTGGCCTGTCCCTGTGCAGGTGAGTGGGCTCCGGTGTCTGGAGAGAGCCCTGGGGGAGAGGCACGGGTGCTGTGGGCGGGCCAGACATCTGCCACATCCACTTGTCCCTACCAGGGATGGCTCCTTCCCTCCCCTCAGGTCCCAGCGGAAGTGCCACCTTCCCGGGAGGCCCGGCCTGACCCCAGTCCTTCCCAGCTCTGCACCCTGCCTGCCCCCTCGCTACACGATTGCCATTTGGACTCGAACTTATAGTGATAAACTTATTTATGTTCAACCTCCCTTGGTGACTGTCTCCCCACGAGAGTGCAAAGCTCTGCCTTTCTTGTTCCCCCTGGACCCCAGGCACTTTGCACCATCCAGGCTCCTAGTAGGTGCTCAGTTAAATATGCTTTGAAGGAATAAATTACTGTCAATTCCAAGCTGGGAGGTCTGGGTCCTGAGGCTCAGGACGAGGCCTCTGGGGTCCGGGGAGGGGCAGTGATCTGTCCAAGGTCACGGAACTGGGGGGCCCCACCTGTACCCTCCCCACCGGGGGCAGGAGCCTGTCACCCCACCGGACTCCCATCCCTCTGGGAACCCCAGCAGCGGGAGGAAGGGCTCTGGGAGTCCCTGGGGTTCCTCTCAGCTGCCTGGGAAGTTTCTCGCGGCCAATTCATCTCATCTTCTCAGCTCCCTTCTGGCCCACTTTCCCGGCTGAAGGGGAAGCGGCTAAGGCAGCTGTGGAGCGGGGATGCTCCCTAGTTGAGATGCATTAATTTGTGAATATCTTCATTTATATGTAAATGTGGAGTCCCAAGCCCCACCACCAGCCCTAACGGGGCCCTGCAGCCTCGGGAAGCAGCGCCCTGCGGCATGGCTGCTCCGGCTGGCAGCTCTGCAGGCTCCCAGAGAGTCTGCTGCTTCCTTCCCTTCCGCTGCGGCCTCCTTGTGGCCCTCTCCCCTGGTGCTCTCTGCTGGGAGGCCACTCCTGGAACCGAGGCTCGGGGAGAAGGCTGGGGAAGAAAAGAGCACTGGCCGTGAGTCAGCGCTACTGTGCCGCCTTGGGGCAGTCTCTTCCCCTCTCTGAGCCTCAGTTTCCTCAACTGTAAAATGAGGAAGACAGCATGGTGTAGGGGTAGGATGGAGTGGGCTGGGGCTGACCAAGTTCACGTTGTTCCAGAGGGAGACCTTTGGGCAATTCCTTTGACCTTGCTGAACTTTGACCCTGTCTGTAAAACCAAGACTATAAAAAATAATAATAATACCTGCCTGCATTCACGGGGTTGTTTGTGACGATCAAAAACGAAAGAGTGCATATAAGGAGGCTTTATGAGATTCGAGAAAAGCTGAGTTTTTTTATGGTGAGGGAAGGAGGGATTTTTCTGGGCAATAACATGCACGGCTCAGTGACTGCGGCGCTGTATGTGGATTAACTCGGGGATCCTCACGAGGCTGCAGGGAGCGTCTTACTGCTGTCGTCCCTTTCAGAGATCGGGAAGCTCAGGCACAGTCACCAACCCAAGATTACAGCGAAGCGAGGGGTGGACGAGTCAGGATCTGAACTCAGGCCATCGGACATAAATCTTACAACAGGGCCAGCCCCGCGGCACAGCGGCTAAGTTCTCATGCTCCGCTTCGGTGGCCCGGGGTTCACCGGTTTGGATCCTGGGCGCGGACTTACTCACCGCTCATCAAGCCGTGCTGAGGCCGCGTCCCACATACAGCAACTAGGAGGATGTACAACTATGACATACGACTGTCTACTGGGGCTTTGGGGGAAAAAAGGAGGAAGATTGGCAACAGATGTTAGCTCAGGGCCAATCTTCCTCAAAAAAAAAAAAAAAGGAGGAAAATTCCATTTTAAAAAAAAATCTCACGACAACTGGATGAAGCTAATCATGTTAAGCCTGCTTTACAGGTGGGGAAACCGAGGCAGAGAGAGGTTAAGGCCCTCGTTCAAGGTCACGCAGCAGGAAGTAGCTGAGCTGGGATTTGAACCCAGGCTTCCAGAACGAGGGCTGTGTCCTGGACGCTCCAGTGAGCACGAGAGGGTGGGGTCAGGGATGTTCTGGGGTCTCCAGGGTTCCTTCCTGGCTTAGAAATCAGAGCCAAGGAGTCTCCCTGGGGACCACACCTGCGGCAGGGGGTGGGGGGCTGGAAGTGATGGGATGCGCTGGGGGGGCTTCTCAGAGACCATGGGTCCGGACGGTGCAGGGGCGGGGCGGGCGGCGCTGGGCTCCTGGGAAGCTAGGCAGGGATCTGAATGTTCACTTGCTGCAAAATCATCCGCGGGGCCCAGAATAGTTATTTTCTTCTCCAAAATGACCTTTTACCTCCTTTTTCACCTCGACTGTAACTGGCTTGTCTTAGGCGTGCTGTGACATTGTAAGGCGCCCCCAATCCTTTTGGGAAGCGGGTGCAGGAGGAGAGTCATAAGCAGAGGAATGAAGGTGGCTGTGCGGCCACTTGCACACCTCCTCACGGTCCTGTCGGGTCCACATTCGCACCAGATCCCCCAACAAGTGCTGAGTCGGAGCTCCTGGCACACAGCCCAGGGAGGAGGAGGACCCAGAAGGTCCTCCAGGAAGCACACCCACCTTCCGTTCTCACCCCAGCGGGCAGAGGAGGACGCCTGCCGGATTCCCGCTGCAGGCTGGATGCGCCCTTTGGAACCTCTTGTCCCATCTTCTAATTTTACCCCTGGGGAAACTGAGGCCCAAAGGGCCAAGGAGCGTACCCAGGGTCATCCAGTCAATATGCAAATTTCGTTGTGCACCTACTGTGTGCCCAGCCTTGTGCTGAGAGCTGGGGATACAAGGTGAAGGGGAAGAACCTGCTCTGTCCTGATGCTCACGGTCACAGAGAGAAGAGCCACCGTGTGTGTGGAGAGTGGGGCCTCACCCTCCTGGGGGACAGCATCAGGCGCTAGGAGGAAACATTCCAGGCGTCCCACAGAGCACAGTGCGCGTGGGCTTGTGTCCGCTGCAGCCTCTCTCCATATGCCCAGCGTAGCTGGGTCATCCACCACTTTGGAGCAGACTGCCACTTTCTGCCTGGGCACCGGGCAAAGCATTTGCCCGTGTAGTGTGAACACGCACCCATGTGTGCCCCTGTGAGGCCCCCTCTCCTGGAGGGGTGGGTCCTGGAGGGGTCGCAGCCGTGGGCTGTGGGGGGCATCAGCTCTGCTGGGGCGAGGGGCACTCTAAAGAAGGTGTCCCACGGGAGGACCTGCCTGAGTTGGGTTCTGAAGGCTGAAGAGGAGTTTACCAGGTGAGCAAAGGAGACAGGCACTCTGGGAAGAGGGCCCAGTGAGTGGAAAGGGTCAGCGGAATAAAATCTGATTGGGCCTTTTAGGGGTGTGCAGGAGGGGAGTGGGTGCCCACACACCTGTAACACGGCAGGGCCTGGAATGAGATCTGTGACCTTAAAGTCTTCTAGAAATGGAGTAGGGGTAGAAATATTAAGTATCTCCATCCTGAGGACTCTTCCCTCCCCATCCCACTGCTGCTTCTGACCGGGAGTCTGGCTGTTTAGGGTCCGTTTTCCTTCCCAGACTTGGGGCCTTGTGGCCTTGGAGCCCGTGGGGAACAGTAGAACGTGTCGCGTGGGCTTCTGAGTCAGGCAGAGCTGGTTCACGTCCAGCTCTGTCGTTCCTGGCTGTGTGACTTTAGGCACACTGCTCACCCTCTCTGGACCTCAGTGTCCCCACCTGGAAATGGGGTTTGGAAAACCCACCCTGCAGGACTGTTGGAGGAGCCGGCTGGGGAGGCCGACGTCAAGGGTCTGCCCCACGTGCCAGAGCTGTGACCTGCCCCCTTCCTGCTTGTTCCCTCCAGGGGAGGTCCCCTAGGGAACGGGTCCCCCTTCAGCAGCGGAGCCCCAGCTCTGCCTTCTGGGCCCCTGGAGGGTGATCCTGAGAACCCCCAAGAGCACAGCGGACAGACGTGACGGGGCTGGAGGAGCGGCCCCCACCCTGGCCCGGCCTCACCTCACGGTGGACTGGTACACCAGGTCCTCTCTCTTGCGGTAGTTCTCCATGTGCGAGTAGTTGGTGGAGAACATGGCGTCGAAGGTGAAGATCTTCTGCTTGATGGTGCCGCCATCTGTCACCTGCAATGAGCACAGAGGAGGCCACAGGTGAGCCTCTGCCAGGCTGGCCGCCCCTTCCCCCAGGCAGGGAGGGGCTCCCGGGAAACCAGGGAGATGCAGAGGCCGGGAAGCCCAACGCCTGGTGCCCCAGGAGAAGCCTCCGGTGGGAGATGTCACAGCCGTCGCCGGAACCCTCCCAGGTCATCCCCACTTTATGGATGTGCAAACTGAGGCTCTGCGGTGAAGGGGCTTCCTGAGGTCCTGCAGCAAAGGTGACCTACTGGTCAGCCCCGCGGAAGTGACAAGCAGAGCTCGGGGAGCCGTGGACAAGGCCAGAGAGTGTGGACATGTTTTGCAGAGTTAGCCACAGACTCACAGCCTGATCGCAAAGCCGTCCCTGCCCCAAGGAGAGAAGGAATGGACAGAAAGAGAAGAGGGGAACTGGGGGTCAGGGGCAGTCACCGGTGCAAAGATCTCAGGGGAGACAAACGAGATAAACTGCAATCATTTCTGATAAATCCTGCAAGGGGTAGGCCCAGAATGGCAGGGGGGCCCAGAGGAGGGGCAGCCCCCATCCTGGGGATAGGGTGGTCATGGAGAGCTTCCTGGAGGAAGCGATATCTAAGTTGCCTTCTGAAGGGAGAGTAGGAGCCAGCCTGGCAAAAGTTGCCAGTGCTTCCAGGCAGAGAGGACAGCAGGAGCAAAGGCCCTGGGGCAGGAAAGAGCAATGTGTGCTCAGTGAAAATAGACTGTAATCAGAGCGCCTGGGGCAGAAAGGGAGTGGACTGAGAAGATGCGGGGAGTGAAATATGAGCCAGATGGGGGGGAGGGCGCGGCCTGCTGGGCAGGGAGCTCAGCTTCCCTGAAGCAACGGTGGTGGTGGAGGGCCTGCTAGGATCCTACCTACAAGCTCCCTCTGGCCTTAGGGTGAGGACTGACTGAAGCGCAGGTCTGGGGGCAGCAGACCCGGGAGGAGGCTGGAGAGAACCCAATCCACCGCCATGGGGAGGGAGAGAAAGAAAGAGAATGGGACAGTGCGGGGGACCCATCCTCCTCTGCCTGCCCTTGGGACAGGCCAGGAGGGAGACCATGAGGTCCCCACTACACTGGGAGCACGGAGGCCAGAGAAGGCGGGGGACCTCAGGAGGCGAAGATAAAGGCTGCTCCGGTGCCCAGCTGTTCACAGCTGATTAGAAGCCGGACCCAAGTGTCCGGCGCGCCCAGCTGCGGCCGCCCGTGTCCCCGCGTGCGCGCTGCCTCCCGCTAATGAAAGTGTTACTCCACAGAGCAGCAAGGTACGCGTTGTCACTGTTTCAATCATTTATCTGTTTACTCGGCTGCAGTTTTCCGCTTGTCTCAGCAACTCTATTATAGACGGGGAGCTTGCAGCCTCTCGCAGCTCAGCTGGGCTCCGCACTCACAGCCTGCGACAGGGAGGCCGCATGCCCGGGCCTGGAGAAGGGGAATTAACTCCCCGCGGCTCTGCGTGCAGAGGCAGGGGAGAGGGGGCTGGGAGGACGGCGGCTAGGGACGGGCTTCTCCAAGGGGCTGGGGCGGGGGATGCTGAAAGCCGCTTCCCTCACCCCACGAAGGTGGGCGTTGGAGCCTGGAGCTGTCGCGTGGCTACTGGTTTAGGGGACACGGATTCAGTGCACTCCAGCCAGCATTTATTGAGCACCAACTGTGTGCCAGGCATGGGCCTCATCAGTGTGGATCACCCTCCCCAGACTGCACGCTCATAAAGAACAAGGAGGCCTCTACCGGTGCCGGGGGCCCCGGGGAGCCCTGGCTGGCGAGGGCTAGGAGGATGATAACACGTGCACAAGCTCCGGGACCCTGAGGGGGATCAGCGGTGGGACTTCCCACTGCAGTTTCTCCCTACCCCTCGCTAAGCAAACCCCTCTGCCTCCTCCAGGCTTATCTACAGCCCATTCAGCTCTTTTGTGCTCCCCTCTGGGCCTTTGTGTCTGTCTGACTGTGCCCGCGTGCCGTCGGAAGGCAGGCCACCCATCCTCTCGTCCTGTCACCCGGCCTCCTCCGCAGCACGGGGCTCAGCTTCCCCAACAGGGGACGACGAGAGGGGCAGAAGAGGGAGGAAGAGAAGCGAAGCACCTTTAACCCAGGGGGACGGTGTTGGCCCCTGGAGCCGCTTTTGGGTGTCACAGCTTGGCAGGGGGGTTGGTACTGGCATCTAGCGGCAGAGGCCAGGGGTGCTGAGACCATCCTACGATGCACAGGACAGCCCCCCAAAGTGGCCCAAAACGTCAACAGTGCCAAGGGTGAGAAATCTGCTTTAGCCCACCACTTTGCGTGGACCCACAATGTCCCTGGAAAATGAGCAGAAGAGACAATAATTTTCCCATTTTGCGGATGCAGAAACTGAGGCTCGGAGAGGCAAAGTGGTTCAGCCGAGGCCCCACACTGGCCAAGCTCTGGCTCCCAGACCGGCATTCACATCCACCCACGAGGCTGAAAAAGTCTGTGGGTGAACTAAATACCTCTCCGCCCCTCCCCGTGCCCCCAGCGCCGGCTCCTCACAAGGCAGGATGCCAGAAGCCCTGGCTTGGAGGGGTTGAGGAATTTTCTCATAAAGTCATCAAGTGGAAGGCGTCCCCCCATTTGACTTGCAGCCTGGACTCCCTTCAGGTACTGCTTTTTATCTCCTCCTAAAATGCGGCAGCCCTTATCGTCCCAATCTTGAATTTCACTCCATTTTTTTTTATTATACAAAGGAGAAAAAAATCTGTCGGTAAAGCTGTCTCCTCAAATTTATTCGCCAGGACTGAGGGTTTTATTACTAGGAAAATACACCCGCACCCCACACGTACACACACACACCCACACACCCCAGACAAAGCACCGAAGAATTATCTGAGTCATAAATCGCTGTTTCAGGCCGAGGGACAGGGGAGTTTCAAGGACGCACCTAGTTTTCCTTTGGGTTTATTTACATCTTTTTCTCTGGGGCCGTGTCTGGAGCCTCACTGTCAGCCAGAGGAGTAATAATGGCTTCCTTCCGTTACGCTGGCCTCAGGCACCTGGGGACAGGTGCTTATCCTCCACCGCAGGCACGGCATCACCCCCCCAGTTCACTGCCCCCGGCTCTCACCTCCCTCAGCCTTAGGGAAGGTGCAGGAAAGGAAGAGACGGAGTTCACCCTCAGGTCCCAGGCCGGTGGGCGAGTGGCTATTTGCAAGGAGGTTTTTCTGTAGTTCCTGGCGGTGAAAGCCCCCAAGACAGAGGCTGTGTGGGGGTGGGGGGTTATCGCAGGCTGTGGGCAGCAGGCGTGGTGAGTGTTAGGTTAGGGGTATGCTGGAAGACACCTTCCCTTTAATTCTGGAAAGATTCCCTAGGCCTAAGACATGCCGGCACAGTTCTAGGCCCCACGGGAGAGAAAGGAGTGAATTTCAGACGTGGTCGCAGCCCATCGTGAGCTTATTCACAGTCTAGTGGGGGAGATACAGGGCCCACAACTAGCTGGTACCAGAGTCAGGAAGACTGTGGCTGCAGCAACAGGTACTTGCCAGGTGTTATGATGCCCATAGAGGAGCCGAGAATTCCTTTGGAGGGAGGGGCGATCACAGAAGTCTTCCTGGAGGAGGTGGGCCCTCTTCAGGGGGTGTTCAGGCCCTGGCTGGCTTTGCCTGCCTATGGGAGGCTTTTGAGCAAGAAGGAAGACTGACTTCCTCCACCCCTAGTCGAACTCTTGCTTTCTGTTACTAACTTTGTGCTCGTGAGCAAGTCATGTCACCTTTCCAAGCCTCAGTTTCCCCATCTGTAAAATGGGGATAGTGCGACCCACCTCCTTGTGAGGATCAGCTGAGACGAAGCTTGTTAAGAGCACCTGGTGTGTGGTAAGCGCTCAACAGAGACAGCTACTTTTGTGAAATCTAACACTTTCCTGGGCCACGTCTTTTTCTGTGTCCCTTCCCACTCGCTGGGCTGGAGAGCAGAGTATCTCTTGCTGAAAAGTCAGAGGATGCAGAAGGCCAGAAAAGAAAGAAGGGGGCCCATACCTGGGGAAGGGGGCGGTGGGAGGAGCCCGAAGCCAGTGTGGGCAACCAAGGACTGGAGGGCTGGGGGTGTGCATGCAGGGTTGGGGGCGGGGGAGAGCAGAGGCCCAGGAACTTGCTGATAGTCACTGTCTCAGCCCCGAGAGGAAGCTGAAAACGCTCTGAGCAAGTACCTGGAGGCAGGCTGGGCTCAGGGGCTCCGAGACACTTCCCTGGTGCGTCGCAGGCGCCAAGGCGGGTGCGACCACAAGGTCAGACAGACAGAGGAGAGCTTGTCCGCTGGGGCAGACAAGGTGCTGTCCTGGAAAGCCGAGGATGCGTGGGTTTCTCCTCCCCCAGAGGGAGACGTGCTTGTGTGTTCATTCATTCCTTCAACAGATTTTGATGGAATCAATAAAAAGCCCTTGAATGTGAGCCACTCCTAGAACATAAACTCTCTGAGAGCAGGGTCTTTATCTGTCCTGTTCACGCTCTCTCCCCAGAGCTGGGCACGTGGTACTTGCTCAATAAATATTTGTTGAGTGAATGAATGAATGTGCCGAGCACCGAGGGTGCCATGAAGAACAGGAAAATGCTCCCGCTGCGCTTCAGCACAGACTCGCCCCAGGACACCTGCTGCGCCCACACCCTGCCCTGGCTAGGGCTTCCTGCGGGAGCAGCCCGGCCCAGCCGCAAGGCGGCCCGGACCATCCACGCCGCGATGCTCCCAAAGGAGCCGGCGTGGGTCTGAGCGGCTCTTTCTCAGAGGCCCAGCTCTAAGGCCGTCTGCTACAGGGGAGCACCCTAATCGTGCAAAGGGCACACCTGGACCACAGAGAGGAGGCTGTGAGCCTGGTTATGCAAAAGAATCCGAATCCTAACCCGCGTCTACACGGGCTTGATGGTGTACACAAGCCCTCCCTCCATTATGTCGTTTGGATTCTCAGGACGGCGAGCTCCAGGAGCCACGTGCCCCAGTGCCTGACACACGAACGAAGGGCTGTTGAGTCAGTGAACCGTCCTGGGAGA